GGGACAACCAATGCAAGGGGGAAAACTCTGATGGGGACAACTAATTATTAGCTGCACCTATCAGAGTTTCCCCTTACATTCATATCAGATGCATTAGGGCTGCTTTTTCCAGAGCAGCCCCAATACTGGACAAGGCAATTTGCCTTGTTACCAATGGGCTCAGTTCACAGTTCACACCACCACATTATAGTTGTGTATGCTGAACAAAAGTACTGCATGCGGGCCGCAACTGCATTGCACTGTGCTGTGCCCACCGAACTTAATGAAATGTCACCTGTAACATTTGAATAAAGTTCTAACAAAAAATAAACAGGACGATGTGCCTGGGAACACACCAGCAGCTGTGCGTTGTAGTGCAGATTCTGGTGTAAATGTAGCCTAAATGGCAGACTGTGGGACAGACATGGACTGAGTGACCATTCTGTCTAGACTGCCATTCTGACCTCTGCTCGATAAAAGTTTTACTCACCGGACCTCCTTGAATTTTAATTGAGTACCCTAGTCTGGAAACAGGTACACTTTAAAAACTGACATGGCAGACTGCAAACTAGTACAATTGCATACATTTCTACCAATTTAGAAAGTAAACGCCAAGACAAACCATTGACACATGCTCATAGGTGGAGTTCCATTACACCATTTATAGAACTGATATTTCCATTTAGAAAATGTCACAAATTATACATACATGTGCCTGCAGCAGTACACATTTAGAGCACAAAAAAAGACATGAGGCTTCTATAACTCAAGAGTTGAAAAGATTCTCATTTACCTGTCACAAAATGGTAAGGACTGCTGCACGCCTCAGGGTCTGGATGATCAGGCAGTGGCTGGGAGAGACACAGATAAGTGTGAGAGGCACAGGGAAAGGCTTTTAGTTCTATACAGAGCACATTAAATAAATATTAAATGTGATTAAAAAAAAAAAAAGAGACTCCTTTGCTAAAGGAAACTTGGAAAAATTTAGGGCCGACATGCTGATCCAGTGACTGCTTTCTCAGTCACTGACCTCATAAAAGCATGCAGATTAGAAAGTACAAATGAAGTCAGCACCCCTAATCTGCATACATGATCCAGGTCAGTGCTATAAATGCGGTCTTTGCTGGATCAGCATGACAGCCAGATACATAGCATTTCCAGGAGGGGAAAGTCAGCTATGACAGCCACTATGTCTTCCTCAGTACATTCAGAGACTGATCCCTTGTCCCACTCGCCTTAAGAAAGGGCTGCAGAGTACAGTCAATACAAAAGTGCAGCACGTGGACCTTTTTTCCCCTCCGACTGTTCTCCACTCCCTGTTTAGTCTGAGTTTAGTAGGAACACTTGATTCATTTCCATGTTGTATTTTAGAAAATCCTGTCAATAATTAAATTTCTTTAATGACAAAGTATAACAGAGTAGCAACAGGCTAAAACACTGCAGTCACGTGCAGTCAGTTCTGCTTGTCCAGCAAACTGCATTTGAAAGGTTTTACACCAAGCACCTTCTGATGTGAGACCTGATGCAGCTTCAGAAAGTCTCAAACATGAAAAGCCAAGGGGAATCTGCTGACACACATGCCACAGCAATGTCAAAGTCTGCAGCAGGAGTGCTTTAATGATTCGCATGTCCCACAAGGCCGTGCAAATCAGATGTAGTTCACACAGACTTCAGCATGTATAAGAACAGTGTGAACAGCAAGCTTTTACAGAGCATTTGCAGAGCCTCAGCAGCTTTCTTGAAGCTCTTAAAGAACCCTTCAGGTCCAGGCTGGGAATGGTAAACACATATACTATTGGGAGTGCTGTCCCCTTAAACAAGTGCCTAGCAGGCTTCAGTAAGCTTCAGCATAACCTGATAATTGTTGAAAGCCTACTAGCATCTAGGTTAAAGTGACACTAAACTCAGGTGTTAAATCTTAATACATTTAAAGTACCTTAACTAACAAAAATGTATCTTATTTGTGTATCACTCGGCTGTAGATCCTCAAATCATCTCTGAATTGGTGCTGACACTGCCCTTCCTTCTGGAGGGTGGCTACGTTTGTTCCCCATGGTCCCTGTGTGTGTTGTAAAGTAGCCACGGCCCCAATCTCACATTTAGTTTACTCATTTGTGTTGAGATACAATACCACTCTGGGTTGGTTCACACCAGATGCAGTTGTGATGCAGTCTGTTCTGTTTGGCAGCTGCATCAATGGGATTTCTAGTGCCCTGTTCACACCAGTGATGTCCGTACAGGTGCAGTCAAACAAAATACTGCTTGTCCTATTTTAGCTGCACCTGATCGCAACGGAATACATCAAAAAAGCATGCAAAAAACACACAGGACTGCACCTGAAAGCACATTTTAAGTTTAAAAGCCCTCCAAGCTCGCTCCCATGATGGACTACAATCTCAATACAAATTAGTAAACTAAATATGAGATTGTAATCCATCACAGGAGTGAGCTTGGAGCAGAGGCTACTTTTTAACACACACAGGGACCATGAGGCACAAAAGTAGCCACCCTCCAGAAGGGAGGACAGTGTCAGCACCAATTCAGAGATGATTTGAGGATCTGCAGCTGAGTGATACACAAATAAGGTCCAGTATTGGTAATAGTTAAAGTACTTGAATACATTTGTAAGGTTTAACTCCTGAGTTTAGTGTTACTCTAATGTAACAGTCAGCACTTTTATTAGATCTGTGTTTAACATTCCCAAACTGGAGGTGAAGGGTGCTTCAAAGACTTCAAGAAAGCTGTTGAAGATTCACAAATGCTTTTAAAAAGCTTGCTGAAAACTTGCAGGGTTATGCACAAAAGGGTGAGGAGTTTGGAGAAGGCAGCATTAGTGACCAATCTAGGATAACATAGCAGATTTGGAAACATTCTCCAATTCAACTCACTTTCCAGTTCAGCTATGTTGTCCTTGATCAGGGGTGCCCATAAGGTCGATCGCGATCTACCAGTCGATTGCGTAGCGATCACTGGTAGATAGCCATGTCCTCTCCTCCCGCCGCTTCTCTGGATCCCCGCTGCTCTCCCCAAGTTCACACTGGTCTAATACAAGCTGACGCCCCGTGTGAACTAGGCCAAAGCCAACATTTACTCTATACACTTCTTCACATATTAGGTTCTTAGCAGCAATGTGTAACGCCGATGCAGATGATTATGCATCATAATGCACAGAATAAAGTGTGCGTATTAACCTGTTAATACATTTAAAAGCAGCAACTCATAGGCTGTGAACAAGGCCAATGCATTTTCCATCCAGACATATCACTAACAATGCTTGGCAAAACTTTCCAACATGTAGGATTGATTTTTAATTTTCCTTCTAACGTATGCTCTGCTCTGGCTAACCACCTTTCACAGCACCATATTAGCAATCATCAAAAATAGAAAATAAAGTTAAAAGGATGCCTTTGCATGCTAGCTGAACGGACATGTTGCCCTGGTATTCTTCCAAGCTAAAATGTTTTTGACTGAACAATAAAATGTATCGCTTCCTCTTTACAAGTTTTTAAATGCCATAGTTTATGTTTACCACCCTTGCCACAGTCATGTTAGCCACATTGGACACCTGACTTCTGGGATTATTACAGGTCCTTACATGTGAATCTTTTGATAAATGTAGAAATTAGAAACTAACATTAGTAGAAAGTCTGTGATTACATATTTCAGAACAGATCTGTTACTGCGGAATGAGTGCAGTTCTGCACCTCTCTGATCTTCGCAATTTAAATATGCAAATAGCATATATAGGTTTGCCATTAGCCTACAAATGTGCACACTTCATGCCTCTCACATAGCACTCCCCAAGCCTGACAACAGGCACTGGACTATGGCACTGAACAGGGAGATGTGCCTAATCCCTACTACTAGAAAGAGAAAAACCAGCTTGGACTGTGGACTGCCCTGATGCTACAGCTCATTCCGTTAGCTACCTGAGGGTGTTTATGACAATTTATTCACAGGTCTGCTTGAAGGTTTAGGTCACACTAACAAACACATCCACATATTTATTTCCTATAAATTAAACACTTGGAAGAACGATGAATGCCAATAGTCAACTCTAAATGTAATATTTTGGCAGCTACAAATTTACATACGGTAGTTTATTGGATATTTAAACCCATAACGCGAGGAAGAAACACAAAGCAAACATATTTCTAATTCCATCCATACAAAGTTTCTATTGCCATATAGTCATAATAGAGTTTGAGACAGAAGTCACTCTATGACTCACTAACAGAAGTGAATGTTGAACTATTTCGTCACATACAAAATTAGAGAAAGCCACAGCAAGGTGAAGTTTGTACACGGTTTCTCGGTTAAAAAAAAAAAAAAAAGAGAAGAAGATTACAACTATTACTATTACATGTAAGCATTTCCTAAATTCTTCATGGGATAGGCTGCGTCTAATTTTGCTTATGTGTTCTCATAACAGCTTCCTGCAATAAAGGAGGTTGTACATCACAATTTAAGAGTTTGTAATCCTCTATTCTTTAGATTCGAAAGGAGAAGTGTTCTTGTTGGCCACATTAACCAGACTTCTCCTGCAATTCCAAGTTAGAAAATTAATATTAGGAGCGGCGCAGAGATTATGTTACTGTATGGTGGGCATGGCATGGGAGATTCTCAAATCCACATGTATATTTCTCAAGTGTTAGTTATTTTTTGACTCTACAATGTGTGTTAAATACCTCAATTTGAAATGACATTAAAGTGACACTAAACTCAGGAGTTAAATCTTAAAAATACATTCAAGTACCTTAACTATTAATAAAAATGTATCTTATTTGTGTATCACTCAGCTGTAGATCCTCAAATCATCTCTGAATTGGAACTGACACTGTCCTTCCTTCTGGAGGGTGGCTACTTTTGTTCACCATGGTCCCCGTGTGTGTTGTAATATAGTCACCGCTCCAAGATCACTCCTGTGATGGACTACAAGCTCACTACAAAATTAGCTAATTAAATATGAGATTGTAGTCCATCACAGGAGTGAGCTTGGAGCGGTGGCTACTTTACAACACACAGGGACCATGGAGAACAAACATAGCCACCCTACAGAAGGTGTCAGCACCAGTTCAGAGATGATTTGAGGACCTACTGCTGAGTGATACACAAATAAGATACATTTATGTTAATAGTGTACTTGAATGCATTTTTAAAGTTTAACTCCTGAGTTTAGCGCCACTTAAACAAACATCACCCAAACCACCCTCTTCGATCCTCCCAGGACTTCCTGCTCTCCCATGCACACCTCCGTGACTTCTACAGAGTATTTCCCATCCTCTAGAACACAGCCTATCTTGTCTACCTTTCTCATCTCAAAGTCATCTCTTCAGAGAAGCCTATCCCGCCTAAAATCTGTACTACCACTTCCTTCATCAGCTCATCCCTCTCAAATAATGCCTTTTGGATCATTTGCCCCTTCTTTTAGATTACAAGCTCTCCCGAGCAGGGCCCTCCTCACCCTGTTGTACTGAATTGTATTATCACTGTGATGTCCTTTTATCTCGGAAAGCACTTTGCATAAAGTTGGTGTTATATAAATCCTGTATAATAATAATAGCAGCAGCTGTATTTTAATTGTATAGTCATTGAATGAAACATTGAATAGAAAGAAACCCATACACTTTACATTCTGTTGGGCAGCAAAAAGAAGGCCTGCACAATCCCACAAGCATTTGTGGAAAGTATTCAAACAGAAACTAGGAAAACCCAGGCAAGTTTTGTGTTTTGCATAACAATCACGTGGCAACAGTACATTTCAAGAAGACGGTTCTTAAATAACAGGGGCACTATAATCCAAACTTTCAAGAGTAGCGATCTGCCGTCTGCAACTTGTTTCTTTATATTACATTTTAAAGTCTATAATTTTGCAAATACAGCAAAGACCTTGAATATGTGAACAGTTATTTATCCCCGTCTTATAGTGCCCTAATAATGACCCCACATGTAAAGATTTGATTGTTCAACGTAATGGTTATGCTAAAACGATTGCGCCTTTCAGAAATGGACTGCACTATACGATCTGATTCAGAAAGGATGGATGATCCATCCTGAAGATGCATTTTATCAAGTTCAGCCAGCTGCAGTTTTTGAGCAAATGATTGTTTGAAATGAAATGATCTAGGGTATGATCAATCAATAATTTATGGTTACATTTATGGCCAGCATAAGATGTGCATAGCAAAGAGTGTGCCCAAAACAATCCAATCTGTGACCAGTCATTCATTTATTGTTACATCCATGGCCAGCATAAGACAGCATAGCAAAGGGGATACCCAAAACAATACGATCTGTGATCGCTCATTCATACATTGCAACATTTGTGGCTAGTATGAGACGGCATAGCAAAGGGAATGACCAAAACAATACGATCTGTGATCATTCATTTCTCTGTACCTTTGTGGCCAGCACAAGACGGCATATCAAAGGGGATACCCAAATCAATCCGATCTGTGATCACTTATTCATTTATTGCAACATTTATGGCTAATATAAGATGGCACATAGCATGTGATGGATCATTTACCTTTGTGGCCAGCATAAGATGGCATATCAAAGGGGATACCCAAAAGAATCCTATCTGTGATCATTCATTTCTCGGTACCTTTGTGGCCAGTATAAAATGGCATATCAAAAAGGGGATAGCCAAAACAATCCGATCTGTGATCGCTCATTTATTTATCGTTACCTTTGTGGCCAGCAAAAGACGGCATATCAAAAGGGGATACCCAAATCAATCAGATTTGTGGTCGGTCATTAATTTATCGTTACCTTTGTGGCCAGCATAAGATGGTATAACAAAGGGGATACCCAAAACAATCTCATCTGTGATCGCTCATTAATTTATTGCAACATTTATGGCTAGGATAAAACTGCATAGCAGAGGGCATGCCCAAATCAATCTGATCTGTGATTGATCATTCACTGATAGTTACCTTTGTGGCCAGCATACAATGGCATAGCAAAGGGTATGCCCAAAACAATCAAATCTGTGATCATTAATTTATCGTTACCTTTGTAGCCAGCAAAAGACGGCATATCAAAAAGGGATACACAAATCAATCCGATCTGTGATCGGTCATTCATTGCAACATTTGTGGCTAGTATAAAAGCGGCATAGCAGAGGGCATGCCTAAATCAATCTTATCTTTGATCAGTCATTCATTTATTGTTACATCTGTGACCAGCATAAGATGGCATAGCAAAGGGCATGCCCAAAACAATCCAATCTCTGATCGATTATTCACGGATCGTTATATTTGTGGCCATCATAAGATGTCATAGCATAGGACATGCCTAAAATGATCTAATCTATGATCAATCATTCACTTATACATTTATGGCCAGCTTGAGGTGACACAACTATGACCTGCTGTAGGTAGGCAACCAGAAAAGCCTCAATATAAAATCTTCTACACATAATATGTCACATAAAACCTTACCAGGCTTATACTGAAAGATTTGCATTTTAGGTCCTCCAGACTTTGTTTTTGTAATTGTTCTGTAATCATGGAGATCATGATGTCTAGGAAGGGCGACTCATTTGTCTTCTCATTAAGAAGTATATGACATGTTGCCAAACTTTGTGCCAGTCTTGACTGGGCTCGACAAGTGAAAATTTCAGTTTGGCCCCATCATTTCACCCTGCATTAAACAAACACAAAGTCATTCATGCAAAACAATATGGAACAGCTAAAAATGTCAACGAATACTCCTAAACATGGATTACATATGAGAAAGGATCAACATTTGAAAACAAACTCTGATTGGGCCTACGTGGCTTGGATTTATAAACAGGATTTCTCCAAGCAATCTGCATTTCTAAAGTGGCCAGAACGTCGCTAAGACATGACACTAAATAATGGACTTCTTCTCTCAGTTTATGAAATGAAGGCCTTTATTAAACTTGAGCCCAGCAAGCTTTGTTTTGCATTGAATGTATACAGATTGATTGGTGGCATCACCCAAACTGGAATGTTAAGATCTGCAATCTCTTCTTCCTACTGCTTATCCCTATGAATTCCAGAATGCACTAGGCCAAGCCATCACAACATGTGTAAGACATTCTGAAGTCAGCACACAAGTTGACCTTATGTGTGTGCTTTAGATTAGCATGCAGTGGGCCCTACACCACAGCACTTCTAGAATGGGCTGAATGAAAACACGATCGTGTCATCAGAACAAGGCCTGCTAATGTTACCAACACAAACACAGATATCATGCACCCTAGGGGACCTCCAAACCAATGCAGTGCCGGCCCGTATGTTCAGTGTCATCTTCAGCCCGCGTAGGAGAACGATGCTGTGCTGAGGGCAGCAATGACAGGCCCCCCAGTGACTGCAGCTCTTGCTCCGGAGCATGAAGAGTTAAGGGCTTGTTTATCTCCCTCCTCAGGAGATGGCCGGGCCGGCGCCTTTCCCGGGCCGCATCCTACACCGCCGCGACCATCCAGGCCTCCCCCATCAGCCCGCCTCCCCTCTACCTTGTCTCCGCCGCCCCCACCTGCTCTATCGTTACCTGCCCCGACTACGACCCTCCCTACGACCCAGAGCAGCTCTGAGCCACCAGCGGCCCTGCAGAGCCCTTAAATATCGTCTGGAATGTTCCACTTTTGCGGGGGGAGCAAACTAAAATCGGCTCCCCGAAGTAAGATGCAGAAAGCGCGGATACCCCTTTATTCAGCCCCGACGTTAAGAAGCATAATAATTTGGAGTATAACATGCCCTCAAATGAGCCGCCTCGCGGGCATCAGGGTGTAAAATGCAAACCGTACTCATACAAATCCCCCCACGGACAATGGGGTGACCTGGTCCCTCAGTGCGGAACAAACCATCTTACGCTATAGACGGGGCGAGTGGCTGCTCCTGTGACAGGCTGCGGTCTCAGCAGCGATGGTCGGTGATTGAAGCGCGATGTCCGAATACTTCAGCACAGTGTCGCTGCTCTCTAAACATTATTAACGTTGGGTATGCAGGAACCTAAGCTCGGCAGGTCGTCTCATAGGCCACAAACACACCCCCATCACCCATGTCTGTTCAGTGTTGCACAGAGTGCAAGCTGGGAGTTGTAGTCTTCTGTCAGCAAGATGCTGTATGGTGGGTGTGCTGAGCATCCAAGTGATGCTGCAGGTTTGACCCTCAATAGTACCAGCCTTCTGCCTCCTTCAGCTAGGGCAGGAGTAGCTCTGGCAGCGTCTCTGCTATGCATGCAGCCAAAACATGGGTGCAGATGTTTTTATTTTAGATTATGGTCACTTGCAAAATAAAGCTTTTCTTGTTCTAAGTGTATAAATTAAGAATTAGCCGTGTTCACCACTCAGAATCATTGGGCAAGTGCAGACTTGAAGCCCATAGTCACAGCACAATTCTAATTTCATAAGGTTTAAAATGTAAGCCCAGACCTCACATTCATATTAAAACATTCCTACTCCCCATGTAATCTTAGGTTCTTTGCATGCTCACAAAACATCCATTCAACATGGCTACACGCAATGTGTGCAAATTACAATTAAATTGCTCAGTCTGGTAGACTAGAGAAGCAGGCCTGAAAGGAAAAACACAAGTCACAACTTGTTAAGGGAAGTAAACCAACTATCATTACAAGCACAACTTACACCTAGTAACAGTAGCTGATTTGTAAGTAGGAGGGGGCCCAGACCATATAAGCAGACCTTACATTATTCTACAGGGTCTCCTAAAAAAGGAGGCTTTTACTTACCAATTTAATGTCTCCCACCACTGTTACTTTAAGGCAGCCAACTGTCAAGATTACCCGTGGGCTTATTTCACCTCTCAACTGAAATTTTAAAGCCTTCAAATGGCTGGTGTCATAGCTGATCACATGTACAGGACCATGACAACTGCAATCCAAATGGAAGCAATGATTACACCTGCCTAGTAAGGGATAGGCACTTGTAGTTCCACTTTAAGTACCGGAAGCAGCTTCTAGTAGCAATGATGCCTCTGCCCCCCATTACCCCCCCACTTTTAGGCCTAGTTTACATGTGCTTCAGCCTTATAAAGAGCAGTGCAGCCATCATGTTTTCAGCAAGCTCAGGAGCAGCTTTCCCAAAGATTTTAATACTGTTCAGCTTAGCTTGAGAATGCTAAATACAGATCTTAAAGTGACACTAAACTCAGGAGTTGAAATCTTAAAAATGCATTCTAGTACCTGAACTATTAACAAAAACATAGCATTTGTGTATCACTGAGCTGGGGCTCCTCAAATCACTGAATTGGTGCCAATACTGTCCTTCCTCCCAGTGGCATCACAAGGGGGTGCAGCCCACACCCAGGTGACACCAAAATGACTGTCATTTTGGTGTCACCCCCTCTGAAAAGTCAGGCGCTCAGTCATAGACCGAGCGGCCGACAGTATCAGGACAGAGGGGACCCAGCGGCACACCTTATCCCCGCCGGGTGACTGTCTCCTCCTCTCTCTGCCAGCATCCATCACCAAGATGGCTACCAGCAGGTGTCAGAAGACTGCCGCTATATTGCTTTTATAGAGGGTAGCCAGATATAGTGAGGTGGGGCTCCCCAAACTGGGGAAACTGAAATGATCTAAACCTCAAATCCCTTATCATACACAATATTAATTCCCAAGGAGTATTAAACTCAATTTATTACATTTTTGGGAAAGAAGTGA